GATGTTCAAAGTCATAAAATACTAGCCCTACTCTCATGAGGTTCTTTTTTTTTTTTTTTTCGTGGCTGGCTGGTAAGGGGATCTGAACCTGTGACCTTCATCCCGTCAGTACCATGCTCTCACCAAATAAGCTAACCGGACGGCCCTATGAGGTTCTTGTTAGAGTTCACAAATAATTACTTGTTCATTGATTGGAGAAATGTTTTTCAGTGTCAGTTTGGCATTTTGAAGAGGAGAGTCTTGAATGTTATTATTTATCTTGAATATTTGATTTTCTTTAGCAGCTATTTTATTTTCAGGTTCAGATCTTGGAAAAAAACAAGAGATTCAACGGACAGAGAAGAAAATCCCAAGGTTTTAGTAACTGCATTCTGATCAAATTTCTACCCCATTTGGTGAGCTGAAAAACAGATAAAACTGAAGAAACCAAACCTTTACCGCTGAAATGGACCAACTATAACAATTAACCCTAAAATATGTCTTGCTGTAGAGAAATGCTTGTCATAGACTAAATTCTGGACCACTCTTACAGATAATCTCCTTGTTTAAAAAAAAATTTTTTTTTCTAGACAGTCCTCCTTACTAATTAATTTGATGAAATGGATTTATAAGATTTTTTAAAAATGTGTTAGCCAAGGAGTGGCAAAATCCATATAAGGATTAACACTCACTTTTAAACATACAAATACTATCCAAATAAAAAGAATGCCATTGTATTAACATAACAATTAGATGACAACAGTGTGTGTGAGTATATATATGTGTGTACATGTGAAAGTATACAGGTAAACGGCACATTTGAGATTATAGTAGTTTTTGAAATGAACTCATATACTGCTATACCCAAATGATTATATGCAGTATTCCTATCCAGAAAATGTTATATACTCCTTTGAGAGAAATTGATGGCTGTTAGTGGAAGAAAACAAACTGTTTTTCCTCTCAACTCTTACATTCAACACAGAACACTTCTGTAACCAGATGTGGGGGGGGTCCCCACATACCAAACAATTCTCCAGCCAACACCAACTGTGTGTCATATAATTCAACTCAATTCTGGGCTGGCCAGTTAGCCCAGTCAGTTAGAGTGTGGTGTTACAACACCAAGGTCAAGGGTTTTGTTCCCCATGCCAGCCAGCTGCCAAAAAACAAATTCATTCATTCAATTCTAACACTGCCTTAGGTGCACAACCCCCTCCTTGGGTTTGATTAATTTGCTGGGACTGCTCGTGGAATTCAGGGAAACACGTTTGCCGGTTTATTATAAAGGATACAGATAAACAGCCAGATTAAGGGGTATATAGGGCGAGGTCTAGAAGGGTCCCAACCGCAGGAGTAACTGTCCCTGTGAAGTTTGGTACACCACCCTCTCAGCACATGGAATCACCAACCTGGCGGTTCACCAAATCTTGTTGTCCAAGAGTTTTTATAGAGCTTGATCTCCAGCCCCACGCCCTCCCACAGGTCAGTGGGTGGGGCTGAAAATTCCAACCCTCTGATCCTACAAAAGTGATCTTTCTCTGGTGACTGGCCCCATGCTGAAGCAATCTAAGGGCTCCTCCTAAGTAACCTGATTAGCATTGACTCAGAAATTATCAAAGAAGCTCGTTATGAATAGGAAAAGATACTCCTATCACTCAGGAAATTCCAGGGGTGTTAAGAATTTTATGACAGGGAACCAAGGACAAAGACCAAATACATTTCATGTTATACCACAATGGCAGATATTAATAGTAATTTACAAGTGAAATGTAACAAGAAATCAAGTATCCTGGTTCATATGGTATATCCACCTTCAAGAAGGCAGCCAACAGCTGTTCCTAGCTACAAGTTTCAGTGTTTACACCTCACCACCTATTTGTTGTGCTTTTTTTGAGCATGTGACTAAGCTTTCCGTTTTCTAAAACTAGCTTAAGATATATTTTGCTGGTAAACAGTGTTAAATAAAAGTTATAGGAGGCCATTATTTGGGAGTTCCTGCACTAGGCCCCAATAGACCAGACTAAAAATCCACCCCTGCTAAATTCCACCTCACCAAATCTGAACCAAGTTGTGGTCTGACCTTCAGGAAATGAGGAAACAGAGATAACAACCAATTTCCCAAACAGGCCAGTTTAAATCTTCAATAGGCATGATAATAAAGTACCCTCTGCTTTAATCCTTACCCAAAGAGGATATAGTCTGAAGTAACCTGATGTTAAATAATCAGTTATTTTTCTGTTGTCTGTCTCTCTGTCCCCACCTTACAAGGAAAGTAACTTTGAAATGACCAATCTGCTTTTTGTTCGTTTCTGCTTTTGTAACCAAGCCACAAAGATCTAATTGAGTTCAGTTGCTCATCGAGCCAAGAAACAATCTGAGACAAAAATTAGTGCCAGGAAGAAGGATCTATTACAGCAGACAGAGCATGTGAGCAGAGTAGCAATGTTAGCCCGCCTCCCTGACTGGCTAAATTTTAGGGTTTTTAAAGGGAAAAAAAGAATGTGGGTATGCACAGGGAGGGAGCAAGGACGGAGGTGTAATCATAGCGTTTGCAGGTGGCTTGAGTCAGAGGTCACGATTCCATGATGAACAAGGTTCTTGGCATCATGGGTTCTGTGCCTGGTAGTGCTCTGGTGAGCCTCTAGTCCCTGATGTTATTTCGAGGCTGGAGTCATTATTTCCTGGGGAGAAAACTCAAAGGTGATAACCTTAGCCAAGCATCATTGGAATGTTAAAGTACCCAACTCAGACCTTTGACTAATGTGCATGCCTAACACAATCTTGTCTAAGCAAGAGTATAGGTTAATAATCATCTTGTCCTTTCTTTCTTTGGAAAACCTTTGTTCAAGAAGGTAGATTAGGCGGCCCAGCTGCCAAAAAAAAAAAAAAGATTGATTAGGAAAACGGGAAAACAGGAGAGATACTCAGCTCTGATTCATAACCCTTAAGCATATGGAAGCTATATAATTGGGCACAGAGATGTTGCTGCTGACTCTGGCCCCCATCATCAGTCTTTTCCCTCTCTACTGGGTCTTTCCCATTCAGCATGTGAACAGCTGTGACTCTGTGATGCCTGAAAATCTCTTGACCCCACTTCTGCCTTCAGCTAGTGCCCCATTTCTCCTTGTCCTGTTACAACAAAACTCCTCAAAAGATTGCTGTATACTTGTTATTTCCAATTTCTTCCTTCCAATTTTCCTTTGAACCCTCTACAATTAAGTTTTCGCCCCCATCTTTCACAAGAACAGCTTTATCAAGGTCCCCAAAGCATGTTTCTGAATTCAGTGGTTGATTCATAGTTCTCATCTTACTTGACCTCTCAAGGTATCTGACAAACTCATTTTTCTTTCTTCTTTGAAATGCTTTCCAGGACACCAAACTTGCTTGGTTTTCCTCTTACCTTTTTTTTTTTTTTTTTTTTTTTTTTTTTTTTTTTTCCGTGTCCGGCAACGGATCGCAACCCTCAGTGTTGCCCCCGTACCGGACCGGGGACCAGCAACGGGATTGCAACCCTCGGCGTTGCTCCCGCGCCTCGCTCAGCCAGTGAGCGGGAACCGGTCTGTATGTGGGATCCGAACCCTCGGGTGGGAGCGCCGCTGCACTTCCCAAGCGGCGCACTATCCAGTGCGCCACCGGGCCGGCCTTCCTCTTACCTTTTTTTTTTTTTTTTTCCGTGTCCGGCAACGGATCGCAACCCTCAGTGTTGCCCCCGTACCGGACCGGGGACCAGCAACGGGATTGCAACCCTCGGCGTTGCTCCCGCGCCTCGCTCAGCCAGTGAGCGGGAACCGGTCTGTATGTGGGATCCGAACCCTCGGGTGGGAGCGCCGCTGCACTTCCCAAGCGGCGCACTATCCAGTGCGCCACCGGGCCGGCCTTCCTCTTACCTTTTTGGCTGCTCCTTCAACATCTCCTTTGCTGGTTCTTCCTTATCTACCCTACTGCTTACTACTGAAGTGGCCAGAACTTAGTCTTTGGTTCTTTTCCTTTTTAAAAAATCCAGTCTCATGGTTTTAGATATCATCTTTACATTGACATTCACCAAATATATAAAGAAAGCTGAACTCCAGACTCACATACTAACTGCCCACTCAATATGCTCACTTGGATATATAATAGGATATCAAACTTAACATTTGCACCTAATTTCTCCCCAAATCTGCTCTTCCTAAAGTCTTCCCCATATGAATAAATAGCAACTCCATTTTTCTGGTTGCTTTTTCTCTCACACCCCACATCTAATATGTCAATAAAGTCTTTGGCCATAATTTCAACATATTTACAATCTAGTTTCTTGCCTGGATGCTGTTAGCTTCCTAACAGGTCCCTCTTCCTTAATTCTGCTCATGTTCTCCTTCAATCTACTCTCAGCATAGCAGTTAGAGTGATGTCAAGTATATCATGTTACTTTTCTGCTCAAAACTTTCCAATGGCCTCCCATCTCAGTTAAATTTTTAAAAAGGTCAAGTCCTTACAATGGTTATAAGTAGGATGATTCCATGTCACAGGTTGTCCAGGACAGTTTCAGTTTCTATTTGCCTAGTGTAATTATTAATAGTTCCCATCCCCACCTTTCACTCTAAAAGTCTCCCAATTTGAACACTAAATTATAAATGGTATCTTAATTTATTTTCTGATGCTATAACAGAGTGCCACAGACTGGGTAGTTCATAAAGAAAAGAAATTTATTTCTCAGAGTTCTGGAGGCTGGGGAGTCTAAGAGCATGGCGCTGGCATCTGGAGAGGGTCATCCTATGGTGGAAGGCAGAAGTGAGCACACAAGAGACAGAAGAAATCAGGAGAACTCATTTTATAACAAACCCACCCACTCCTGCGATAAAGCATTAATCCATTCATGAGGGCGGATCCCTCATGACATAATCACCTCTTAAAGGCCCCACATCAATTAAATCTCAACGTGAGTTTCAGAGAGAACAAACATTCAAATGAGAGCATATGGTCACTCAGCTCAGAGGGCCCTAATCAATCTGTACCACACCTCTCCCCCCGTCTTTTAGCTCTCTGACTTCATCTCATGAGTTTCAGAGAGAACAAACATTCAAATGAGAGCATATGGTCACCCAGCTCATAGGGCCCTAATCAATCTGTACCACACCTCTCCCCCCGTCTTTTAGCTCTCTGACTTCATCTCCTATTACACTCTCTATTGCTTTCTTCATTCAGGCTATCCGGCCTTGCTATTTGAACATGCAACACCTGCTTCCACATGTTCCCTCTACCTAGAAGTACTCTTCCCAGGTACCTTTACAGCTTGCTCCCTTACTTCCTTCATGTCTTTGCTCAAACATCACCTTCTTAAAAGTCCTTAACTGACCACCTTATTTAAAATTGTATTCTGTTCTCTCTCTGTCCTAACCTTACCCATCCCCGCTTCATTTATCTCCCTAATATTGAATATGGTTTGAATTGTTTGTCCCTCCAAAGCTCATGTAGAAGCTTAATCCCCAATATGATATTTGAAAGGTGGGACCTTTAAGAGGTGATTGGACCATGAGGGCTATGCCCTCATGAATGGATTAATCTATTCATGGATTAGTGGGTTAATGAATTAATGGGTCATCACAGGAGCAGACTGGCTGCTTTATAAGAAAATTGTAGAGCATGCTCTTGCCCCCACCACATGATGCCCTACACTGCCTTGGGACTCTGCAGAGAGTGCCCACCAGGAAGAAGGCTTTCACCAGATGGCCTCTAAAACTATAATAAATAAATATATTTTCTTTATAAATTACCCAGTTTCAGGTATTCTGTTATAACTGACAGAAAACTGACTAATATAGTACTTATCTCCCTCTGACATCCTAATTTACTTCTTCATTTTGTTTATTGTCCTTCTCCCTCCACTAGACTGTGAGCTCCATGAGGAGCACTCCTGTATCCTCAGCAGTTAGAACAGTGCTTAGCACACAGTAGGTGTTCAGTAAATATTTGTTGAGCAAACAATTGAATTTATTATTAGTATCATTATTATAGTTGAATGGGCAAAGGTAATTACTTTTCAAACGAGAAAATATTGTCTAATAAACACAAAAAATGTGCTATGCTTCACAAGTACTCAAACAGATACTAATTGAAGCAACAATGTGATGCCATGTCCCAACTAACAAATTAGAAAGATTACAAAAGGACAGTATTTGATACTGATGAAAATATAATGAGATGCACTCTCATACCTTTCTGGTGGAAATACAAACTGGTTCATTTTTTCTGGAAAGCAAATTGGCAAAGTGTTTCCAGAGGCTTAAAACACTTGGATTGTGGGTTTGTTTGTTTTTGTGGTTTTTTGATGTATTGATTTCATAATTAAAAAATAATCAGAAGTATATTAAGTATATATGCATATAGATATTTATTACAGCATTATTTGCAATCTTAAAAAACTAAGTATCGGGCCGGCCCAGTGGCGCACTGCTACAGTGCTGCCGCTTGGGAGCGCGGAGGCGCTCCCGCCGAGGGTTCGGATCCCACATACAGACCGGTTCCCACATATAGACTGGTTCCCGCTCACTGGCTGAGCGAGGTGCAGGCGCAACACCGAGGGGGGCGATCCCGTTGCTGGACACAAAAAAAGACAAAAAGGAAAAAAAAAAAAAAAAAACTAAGTATGAAAATAGTTAAATAACATTATGTCCTTATGAAAGAATATTATGCAGTCTTTAAAAACAGTGTTTAAGGGCTGGCTGGTTAGCTCAATTGGTTAGAGCACAGTGTTGTAACACCAAGGTCAAAGGTTTGGATCTCCGTATTGGCCAGCTGCCAAAGTAAATAAGTAAAAATAAAAAAAGTGTTTAAGAATTACTTTAAAGTGCTGGCCGGGGGTCAGCCTGTGGCTCACTCAGGAGAGTGTGGTGCTGATAACGCCAAGGCCATGGGTTCGGATCCCATATAGGGATGGCCGGTTGACTCACTGGGTGAGCGTGGTGCTGACAATACCAAGTCAAGGGTTAAGATCCCTTTACCGGTCATAAAATAAAATAAAATATAAAATAAAAAAATAAAACAAAACAAAATAAAATAAAATAAAAAATAAAGTGCTGGCCAGTTAGCTCAATTAGTTAGAGCATTGCCTTGTAACACCAAGGTCAAGGTTTAAGATCCCCATACAGGCCAGCTACAC